TCCTTGGCCGACAACAGATTAACGCGCCTTAATGAAAGCACTTTCAAGCCGATCTTTTCCTCATTTCTTCACTTGATCTATCAAAGAACCTATCGTTTGTAATTGTGATCTAAAGTGGCTTATAGATTGGTTAAATGAACCTATACGGCCTGAAAAACAATGACAAACTATTTGTTCGTCGCATCTCTGGGGCCACTTCGTGAGAAACCCCTGCTTGATTTTGATCCAAATGACTCTGTATAATGAACTATGGCCTATTCTGTCTGATCCCCCTCGCCTCCATAAGCTTGGTTGTAATCGGCGTGGTGTTGTATCACTACCGATGGCAGTTGAGGAACAAACTGTTTCTCCTGAAACAGCTGCGCCGTACTAGGCTATAAAGAGATGCGAGACGCTCGAGACCAACAATGACTACGAGTTTGACGTGAAACATCATTTTCTACGACGATGACGAAGAATGGATACGCGACCAGCTCCGACCGGCTCTCGAAGAACGGCTTCCACAGTTTCAGAGGAACGTCTATGGTGACCAAGCCTTGTGCTGGGTATGCATTACTTAGATTCCGTCGATTACGTGGTGAGCCATAGTTACAAGACCATCATAGTGCTTAGCAGAGCTGCTGTGCATGACCACTGGTTCATACTCAAGTTCCGTACGGCATGGACCACGTGAGTGACACTCTGACTGAGTTCGTAGTAGTGGTTTTCCTCGAGGACATTCCAGATGATGAAATGCCATTCTTGGCGAGGTTGTATCTTAGTGATGGCAGACCCTATATTCACTGGACTGACCAACGTGAACGGACAAGATTATATCTGGGATAAATTGACAAAAAATCTACCATTAATCTTAGAGTGAACGACCTTATTCCTAACGAGTAGCAATTCATGTAGGAATCTAGAGATACGTGTGATGGCTCCCCATTGGTTTACGTATAAAATATTACTTTGTGCGAGCTCGAGCGCAGACACGATAATCGCATAATTGATTAGATCCATCCTTGTCATCATTATTATTATCATTATCATTGTTATAATAATAATAATAATAATATAATAATAATAATAATAATAGTGGCTACTTGTATAGCGCACAGGTCCACCTTTCGGTGCTAATGGCGCTTAGAAAAGAGTACATGTAACAGGCATAGAAAGAAAAAACAATAACCGAAAAAAAAATCGGAATTCTCCTAGACATAGTAAATTAGAATATTGCAATAATTACAACGAAAGAAAACAATAGGTTTTTTTTGTAATTTGAATGTTTCTGTCGATGACAGTTGACGTAATTTTAGAGGGAGCTTATTCCACAGTTTTGGGACCCATGGCTGAGAAAGCCCGTTCCCCCAAGCATGTTTTATTCTGGTGTATTAAGTAATAGTGTGTCTGATGAGGAGCGAAAACTTTGTGTGGGGTTGTATTTTGAAACAGAGTTGCTCAGGTATGCAGGGGAAGAAAGAGAGTAAATTGAATGATGTACAAGTAACATACTTTTAAAAATAATCCTTTTTTCAACTGGCAACCAATGGAGAGAACGGAGAATTGGTGATATGGAATCAGATTTCTTAGTGAATGTTAATAGGCGGGCTGCAGAATTTTGAAGTCGTTGCAGTTTTGTGACATCTTTTTTCGGAAGGTTACAGAACAATGAATTTGCAAAATCTAAACAAGAAGAAATTAAAGCATGAATTAAGATCTCAGCCGCAGGTTTAGATAAACACTTTCTTATGAAACTTATATTACGTAATGGTACCTTACACTCTATTGAACATGTGTTATGTGACTTGTTTTTGATGAGTGATACACGTTTTTCAATATGGAGATGACACGATTGATAGTCAACCTTCCCTAACATGTGCTTGGAACCTAATAATAAAAACACAGATTTATCATCATTCAGCTTAAGGCCATTAGATTCTAGCCAGGATTTCAGTTCTTCTAGACATTATTATTATTATTATTATTATTATTATTATTATTATTATTATTATTATTATTATTATTATTATTATTATTACTATTAATTATCATTATTATTATTGTTGTCATCATTATCATCAGCATCACCATTATCACTGTTGTTGTTGATGTTCTCGTTCTTGTTTCTCAGTGTTAAGGTAGGTCATATTTAAATTAAACTCTGTAAGATAATCGGTTAGATAATCGGCAATCATAGACTTAACATGTATTCTCGTGTTATAATGGCTATTTGACATGGATAGATGCAAATCTTTAAAGTACTTATATCGGCAGTATTTGATGAGTAAGAGAATTAAAGGTTTCTACTTAATGATTTCTATCACTCTAATGCTATAAGCGCACACTATACGATCTGACTGCAATCCGATTTTGGAAGAATTTACAACACCATTTTAAATGAACATTCCAACATGTACAATATTGATAATCGAGAATCTGATTATTCATGTAATTAATACAATCTTACTTTTAGGGGATTTAAAGCTTCCTTGACGGAGGAAAGCTACATCGGCTCAGAATCTTAATGACGTCATACAGTATAGCGATTGACACGATTTGAAGCCGATTCGGAATCAATTGTGTCTAAAAGGCTTAAAAGCACTAAAAGTATTATAATTAGTATTCTTATGATCATTATTTACAATCTAAATCAGTAAAACGTTCTTTGTTTAAATTCCATAACTATCGTAATTGCCATTTCTTCAAGTATCTGATCGCAGCCGGACCGTGTAGTGTGCGCCGGTAAATGTAAGCGTGAGTGAAAGTATTTATGGAGAATTGTATCTCTTCAACACATAACCAGAAACCCATGTCCATGGAATCTCTTTAACGACGACCTTTTTAAAGACTATGATTTAGGACACTACGCGATGAGTTATATTGATAATTCGAGGTAAAACTAAGAGTTTTTCTCATTTTCTCATTACATGTTTTACAAAATTGTATCTTAAATATCTCGATGTCAGTGATATTTACTCAAGAATACCGATTTCTGAGAATATAGACATTCTCGCCTTCAAACATGTCGAACATCACTGTGGATGTTCTTAATGCTTTATATACATGTATGTATATTTCTGTAAATTACGCCAGTCACAACAAATTTTCTTGTTTTCAATAGGATTTGTAATACTTCGCACATACTTCACTTTTGTGTATGATAGTTCACCTTTTCATAGTAAAATTATGTGTCACAGGAATCTTATAATATCGTATTACAGAAAAATTAATGTGTACCTGTTTTCTCACAGTTAAGACGAAAAGGTCACAACTACATGGATTTACCAAGCGAGAAAGGGGGAGGATGGGGTGTCCCCGTCCAATTTAAGCATTTTTAAACATGATAATCAGCGTTGTATTGCACTTTAAGGAAACTGACCTGGGTTGTGTTTCATACACTTGTTATTAAAATGAAATGCTTAATGCCTGTGATAAGTTTGCTCTCAGCCAATCAAATACCACAATTTCAGTACTCATAGCTGTTATTCTAACTTGTTATCAAGTGATGATAAGTTTTATGAAACAGGGCCCTGGTTTCCGTTGTCTATTAATGTGAGCACTTGGAGAAACTTGAGAGTATGAAAATATGAGATATAGAATACATGTAGTAATAGTAGTACTACTATATAGTTTTAGTAGTAGTAGTAGTAGTAGTAGTAGTAGTAGTAGTAGTAGTCGATCTATGCATAGCGAATTTATTTCATTCTCCACTTAAAGATGAAGTTGAGTTCTGGTCATGCGATTGCATTGTGAAAGAAACGGTGTGGAACCGAACAGAAAGGTTGATCATCTAGCATATAAGAATTTGTGTGTATTGCAAGTTCTGGAATCATCAAAATGATAAGAAATTTGGCCAAGTCTTGATAAAGTTACAAACACTTGCACAGAAAGATGTATATGGGACTACACGAACACGTGGCGTAAAAAGCCGGCCCCCCGATTTTTACGATGTTACATGCATATTTAGAATATGAAGGCATTGAAG